CTTATGAAAGAAAACCCAGACAACCAGAATGCACGTATATTCAAAGTTGTTTTCGTGATATACAAACATATATACAAACCGACAAATCGTATAGAATGCAAAGAAATGGCTTATACGTACAAAAGTGGAGGCCATATACGTGCAAATTTAAATTTAATTTTAAACGAGTTGATTTAACAACATATACGATTTAATCTGTAATAACAAATTCACTTTGAAAAGTCTTACGATGTAACCCGATTTGATTTGTGATACAGTACGACGGAAAAATGAATCATCGCATATAGGTCGGAAATTTGCATTCTATACGATTTAAATTATACATAATGCGATGTATGCCATTCTCATATGCGATTTTGACTTAAACTGTAGCAATTTACGATACTGTCTGCACATTGTTATACGACTACTGGTTGTCTGGGAAGCAGATATATGGTTGCATGCTCAGTAAGCATTGACGTTGACGACGACTCTGCAACTCTTTACTCCTATGGTAAAATCCCATAAGCATCGGACAATCTGTACATGAAGTCTAGCGGACTTTGTCTTATCTCTTCACTCCACCATGGTACCAGCGAGCCACCGTCTTTTCACGTATAGATTGACAGTATATGGGATTTTCATAGGAGTGGAAGGGCAAGGAAATGTCCACCATGTTTCAAGCACAGACTGACGTTTGCTGATGGGATTTGTCCAAAAGAGTAAAGAGTTACATAGTGGTGAAAAAGGTGAATTATAAATTGTCTTGGTAATGCGGCCATTCTTTTTTCGACTAGCTCTACAAGCTATTTTCAAATTGGTCAAAATCCTATCAAGAAAGCTATTAACCAGTAATATCAACAATCAATACGAAACTATCGATTTGAAATTGGCTCACTACTTGACTAGCCTATGGGTCCCAAGCAAATCGATTAACGTACCCCATTCTAGTCGAAATTCTAGTACTACACTATGTTTGATTTGATTCGCTATGAAAGTTTGACAGATAAAATGAGGGGTTCGTGGATTTTCCTATGTTTCGAGGGGTGCATCGATTAGCTTAGGACCGAAGATAGTACCAGAGCTGAACCAAAAAGTTGAGTACATTTTTCCGGGACCTACTAGTCTTAGAGTTACCTCTATGGTAATATCAACAATCAATACGAAACTAACGATTTTAAATTGGCTCACCACTTTAGTAGCCTATTGGTCCCAAGCAAACGATTAAAGTACCCTATTCTAGTCGAAATTCTAGTACTACGCAATGTTTGTTTTGATTCGCTATGAAAGTTTGACAGATAAAATGAGGGGTTATTGGTTTTTCCTATGTTTCGAGGGGTGAATCATTTAGCTTGGGACCGAAGAGAGTACCAGAGCTGTGCCAAAAAGTTGAGCACGTTTCTGCGGGACCTTCTAGTCTTAGAGTTACCTCTATAGTAGTATTGCCTATTTACAGATGTAATATTTCTTCATCTTTTCGGCCTGGTTAAATTGCATTGCATTCATTACGGAAATTACGTTAATTGAATGTAAAATACTGCAACCAGTTTGAATATTCAATTGAATGTTGGAAAATTGATCATTGTTCTTTTAGTAAGTCAACGTTATGATTACATCACGAAATATTCTGTTGATGGATGTTAAGGTTAATTTTTTTCTAAAAGCTAGAAATAAAACTAGGGTAAGTGTTCCAGTTGTTGGTCCATTAGCCGTTCCTGGTAACTTTGAGGCTGCTAGCTGGAAGTCCCACATTTTGGCTTTTCGATAAACTTTTCTACGTTTTTTAGTACAACGTAATTGAAGTAGATCTTTGTGTTGGGATTAGAGCAAAAATGTTAATTTGGCCGCAGCTGAGAAACATATCGAGGGTTGAATCCTTGGGTATTACAGATCAAAATTCTTGTGAATGGAACGATGGTCAGCATATTTTCAGCATAAACCGCAAAATTTTGCTGTTTTTTGTGCAGTTAACTCCTAGTTTGCGCGGTAGATTTGCGAATCCAAATTAAATTAAAGGTTGATGCAATTGGTTCCAAACATTGAGAAAAAGTTTAGGGAAAAAAATAGTACATACATTTTTCTTCTCAGTTTACAGAAACAAAATTGAAAAATATACCCGGTCAAACTTAGAGTTAGAAGACTGCATACAGTTAACATATGCATATACAGTTACAATGATATTTCAGGATTAATCGTTGGGTAGCAGGTCATTGCATAAAAAATCGGCAAAAACTGTCTACTTTTTTATGCAAACGTTAATCTATTTTTTACTGTGAAGCAAGGTGATGAGTTTGTTAAAGCTAGTTATATAGTTTAAAATAAAGTACATAAATAGTTAAAGAAAAATAACGACATAAGTTCAAAAGTGCTAAGAAAATTTTATATAATAAACCAGGTTATAATTATTTAAATATAATCGGTTACCCCCTTGATCTCCTTTCTCATTTTACAGCTGGTATAATCAATTTGCAAAATCGATTCAGTAATTTCAGATTGAAATTACTGAAGTGGGGTCGATTTTTGATGATGGAGTTCCACATATGTTATGTGCTACTTGATTAACCTATTGGTCCCAATACATCTGTAAGCGTACTAGAGCTGGGACTTCAGCTATCCGGATACTTCAGTTTTTTTTTTTTTCAATAAAATTACTTTCAGACAAATTAAATATCGTTAGATTTATATTCAATATACAGAATATCATGCTTTCTAATGCCCAATATTGAAATAAAATAAATTGAGAAAACGTTGAGATCGTTATCAGGCGGATAGTAACTATCCGGATATCCGGATAGTGAAATTTCAAATTTATTCTCCCTCTAACAGTTTTCTTTTTTACTGTTCTATATATGTGTCAACAAGTTGGTTATTAGGTGTCCATGTGACCTGATGTGGAATGGCAGATCTATGAATTGGCAAAATTTAATAAAATTTAAAAATAAAAATATCCGGATAATCCGAGTCCCAGCACTCAAGCGTACCCTGTTATAGTTGAAATTCTAGTACTACACTATGTTTGTTTTCATTCGCTATGAAAGTTTGACAGATAAAATAAGGGGTTCGTAGATTTTCCTATGTTTCGAGGGAGGAGTGCATCGATTAGCTTGGGACCAAAGATAGTACCAGAGCTGAGCCAAAAAGTTGAGCACGTTTCATCGGACATTCTGGTCTTAGAGTTACCTCTATTGCGGTATGACTTGCAAAATTAAACCCGAAATCTCGTGTCACTTTTCACTTTCCTATCAACATTGATCGATTCTCTTCATGTACTCTCTCTTCGTAAATAACTCGGCTACAATTGACTCAAGAAACATGCTTCATTGAGCGATGACGTTCCATTTCTTTACAAGATGTCATCTTTTTCCTTCATTTTCACGGCCATGCACATTAAATTGTTTCGACTCGAATCTATTAAAATTTGAGTTTTTTTCAACAGATGACGGAAATGATGTTCTAAAGAAGGTCAAAGGAGGTGGCAGGATGATTCGGGAAGATGTAGCAGAAGTTTTCAAGATCTCTGCAAAGAAACGTCGGGAGTGATCCTGCAGAGAGTGCTAAGTTTTTCTCACACTTGTATGTACTTCAGGCAATCTGCAAGAGCCTGCGGAGTATCCTTGCAATAAATACATTTCAGTGAAGCACGACAAGGACCCTTCGCATGCTTCTTACCACACATATCGCAGTGTGGTTTCTCGAGCAGTTCATTACCTTTGACAGTTTACAAGCGTACAGGTAGTTGAACCTTCCCTTTCCTGACTTAATTCGGTAGTAAGGGAGAACAGCCCGCAATGCACCCCTGGGGTAAAATGCCCACTTTTAGAAAAACAGCGATAACTTTTCCTCAGATGCATTTTGGTTGGAGGTTTGACAAATAATTCTTGATCAGAAAATCATATATTTACCAACTGATACCTTTAAAAAATAGCATTTTGTGCAAAACAGGACACAGTTGTTAAAATCATCGACTGCAAATTAAGATTTTTACATCATATATCACAAAAAATTTGACGAATTTATTTTTTGTATATTGTTAAGATATTTTACTTGATGAATCACAGTTTAACATTCTATTGAGATTTTGAGACCTGATTTCTGATGTAACATAAAGAAATAATCATTTGAAATACCGCATCCCTTTGCATTATCCACTTGCAGGGGTCATGGTTTGTCTACCATGGGGTGCATTTTACCCCAATGTTGTGGTGCGTTTTGGCCATTGTTGTCGTGCGTCTTGCCCTAATGTTGTGGTGCATATTGCACCATGAATCAGGTGTTTTGCCCAGCTATCATATTGGAAGCAATTTATAAAATACCTTGAAAGTCATGGAAAATCATTCTTTTGTAGCTCTAAATCACTTGATCTTCGTAGAAAACATGGTAATGAAACAAAGCCATTACTTTCTTTTTGATTTTAGCTTCCATTCGCCAGCAATTGACGATTTTGCTTAAACGGTCGTTTTGCACCATCCTACCCTACCCCAGTGAAGGTAACACGAAACGAGTCCAAGTGGTTTTCTTCGTCATGACGACAGACACTGATAGCATTTTAATGCAATCCACAATTGGTAGTCAAGTCAAGCTCGCTTCGGTGGCAACTCCCTCGATTTCATTAAAGCAATTCCACACCAAATTACGAATCGGAAAAAATCGGCCTTCTACGATTCGCATGCAAATTTGCATAATTGTTTCAGATTAACAATGATTCACATTTTTGCTAAAATTCGGTCATTTTGGATCTTGTAAAATTTTCAAAATTAAAATTAAATAAAAGTTGCATGGAAACGACATTTACGATCGAAATGACGCCTGAGACAAATTTGTAGAGAAATATAATGTTTTTTTCTGAGAAAAATATAATGTACGGAGAATCCAGACACAACTATTATAGTAATATAACGCTTCTAACGTATCACAACTATAGGAGCGTTTACTCTATTGCCCAATTTCATCTGTTACTTTTTATAAATTATAAAATTCCTCTTTTCATAAAATAATTTATTAAATTACTATTGCATTCACAGATAGACAAATGCAACAACGTAGAGGTTTCCCCCGTGACGACGATAATCCGTTCAGCAGTCAAAAAAGCTGGAGTAATAATGCAGGAGGATAAACGACGTGTTTCACGTCATTTTTTAACTAATTTAAATATCGCTCAACTTCAAATAATTGTTAACGACTTACAGAGATATATCGAATTGTTAAATGATGATCTAGTTCAGTTGCTTATGAAGCGCGATGAACTACAGATGAGTCAAGACGCATCTTTAATTGACATAGAAGATTTATCATTATACTTTTGAAAGAAATACATCATGATTGACGTTACATAAATTCAATATTCTTCATTCATGAATAAATAAATATTATATATTAACTGTTCTCTTTTAAGATTCGATGACACAACTCCCAAACGCGAGAAAAAAACATAAAATAAATGTAATCACCAGGCAGTGCATAGTCTTCTTGCACATAATAATTAACGCATTAAGAAGGGGGGACGGAGTCGAGCTTGCGTTACTTATTGTTACATAAGTGGGAGAGGGTATGAGGGGTATATTATGTCACGCTCTAACGGGAGATGGGGGCTTAAGATTTTGTGATAAGTACTGCTCTATGTATAGGAAAAACGCGACGAAAGGAGGTAGGAGGGGTTATATTAATGGAAAATGTTACGGAACAGGTGGACCAAAATGAAAAAAAGTCCACACAAAAATTGTGTCATCTCACTTAAAGCCCTACAGTAAAAGTATGGACGACTGTCACCACAAAACTGAAAAAAGCTGTTCCAATCGAGCAAAGCGGTGCATTTTGACGGTTCGATTGGAACAACTTTTGACAGACATCCATACTTTTACTGTAGGGCTTTAATCTCACTGCGTCCTAGCAAGAAGCACGGTCGACTTGTTTCGCGCTCCGTTGTTTTGGAAGTTTTCTCGGTATTCGCTTGATATAAATTATCAGTTTTTTTCTTACTATAGTTCCCGGTAAATTGATCGAAAAGTGAGGTTTTTTTAGTAGAAAGTGTCATTTTCGGAAAAATTAATCCATGCTATTGGAAATTCGCAAACCAATTTGGGCATCATCGTTGCGTGGTCACGCATACGCGCTTACGCATACCCGCTCACGTATCATCATCATCGAGTGTGAGCACCCGTTTCTACATCTACATCGTTCATCAATCATCGTGCGCCTGTGTGCGCTGAGTGTCGTGCCTCGATCAAGTGCATCACAGCGAAGGTCATCCACGCTGCGCGTCGCTTCCCAGCCATCTGGGTAAACGCCTACACATATAACGCTCGGTGGTAGTAGTATAGGATTATCAGATAAGTTTTTGTTTTTTTCTTGTTTCTTTTACTCCCCCATTAGTTAAATTTTCATTTTGTATTTCTGTGTATTGTGTCTGTGCGAGTTTAAACATCAATTCAGTGGGAGAGCGTTTTGCGCTCCCTCTAGTAGAACAAAATGGATGTTTTTTCGGAAGACGGCATGGATGACCATTCATCTCAGAAAAATGATGATGTCATCCCTGGTTCGTCGTCTCAGTCTGTCAATGGGCAGGCTGAGAAAAGCACCAGATTGCGGGCCTACCCGAATGACTCGACTGGCCCATGAGTTGTCTATTTTCAGCCCAAAAACAAACCCTTGAATGTTGTTCAGATATCTGATGATCTGACAAAGCGATTCTCTGCCGTGACCGAAATAACGAAGGTTAGGCACAACAAACTTCGTGTGACCGTCGCTTACCTGAAACAGGCCAATGAAATTGCTGTTTCCCAGTTTTTCACACTGGAATATAGGGTGTACATTCCAGCCTCTGATGTGGAGATCGAAGGCGTGGTCACTGAGACGAGCCTGAACCCCGAGATACTGGAGAAGCAAGCGGTTGGCCGATTCAAGAACCCCTTGCTTCCTCCGGTAAAGATACTAGCCGTTCATAGAATGAAGTCAGTATCGCTCAGCGAGGGTAAAAAGAGTTTTACCCCCACAGACTCGTTTCGGGTGACCTTTTCTGGATCTGCCCTTCCTCAATACATCGAGCTGGGAAAACTTCGTCTTCCTGTGCGGTTGTTTGTACCTCGGGTCATGAACTGCCAGAATTGCAAGCGGTTTGGACATACGGCATTCCAGTAGACTGTGGAAATTTAACGTCTTTGAAAGAGCTGTTCATTTTGTCAAGATAAACAACTTTGCCGAAGACATCAAGTTTCCAAAACGTCAGAGAAAGCAGTTAGGTTGTGGCACCATCTTTGCGGAAGAGTTTTGAACTATTTGTTTATGTCAATAGATGGTCCTTATTATGATGGGAAATTTTGCCGAAGACAGCAAGTCGCGGAAATGCTTCGTTTCGGAGTTATTAATTTTGCTCCGCTAGGTTGCATTCCTGGCCCAGTATGCATAGGATGAAAGCAGAACAGAAAATCATAATGCATGATTTTATTTATTACGAGAACTATTTTCTTTTTACAACGCAATTCAAACTGAACTTTGCATTAGGTTCTAAGTAACATTGATCGATTCCCTTCGTCGACTTTCTCTTTCGTTAGTAACTTATTCACAGAACCGTTTCTTGATGTGTTTGTCGATTGGATTCTAGATAAAAGCTTCTTTTATCGATTTATGTGCTGAAAATACCTGGGAATGTCTTTACATGACCGTGGGGATGCAAAGAGAAAGTTGACGAAGAGAATCTGTCAATGTTACTTAGGACCTAATGCAATGTTCAGCTGGAATTCATTTTTTTTATTTGAGGGCAAATGTATATTCCTATTCTACGGGTGCAACCGATTAATTTTACAAACATTTGGAAAAGTTTTGAATGGTACATTGACCTTTATGAAAAGATATGCGTGATTTCAGCCTTTTTGTCCTAGGACTGTCACCATTCCATGTATTTCGACCAAGATTCGACAGTATCACCCCATGTATATGCGAGCGAGAACAGAAGAATTATAGAGATTGCTGACGTTTTTCTTACGCACACTACGTCGCGTATACGTATACACGAAATGTTTTCATACTCATGCTAACAATTTTGTTGATTTTCTTTGCGCTCCGCTTGGAAGTACCGGAAAGTTTTGATTCTTTTCTATGTTGTAAAAATAAACCGCCTATTAACATTTCTGACAAGTTGCAACTGAATGCTTATAATTGTTTTAAAATAACTGTTTCATGGCCAACTAGTTTTATTGCGCTTACTAATAAAGCAACAAATGGATTTATTTTTGGGTTTTATAAGGGCAATTCATATTACTTTTTTTTATACTTCAAAGCAATCATAAAACCTTTCAATAGTGAAAATAGCATAAGCATCAGTTGGTTTTTTCATTAGCTTTATAGGGGTTTTGTAGATAGCTATAAGAATGTTTCATGACTTGCATTGTATATGACCGTCATAAAGCTGTAGGTAATGGTTGCAGCTGCAATAAAACCTTTATAAATTTTGAATATAGCCAAGTAGCTCTAGATTTGTTACTTGGGCATGCTCTCTCGCCGTGCTCGGCGTACAAACAGCTCGGGGACAAAATGAAACGCTCCCTTAAGGAACGTTTCAGGCGGTCTTTTGCAGAAATGCTTAAGACAGCCACGCCATCGACCAATGACAAAAATCCCTTTTCTCTTTTGTCAGATGACGAGACTGACTCTGACTTGGCTGAGGAGGGAACATCTTTCAGTTTTCCGGAAGGTTCTGCACGGAAACGAAAGCGCATCCGTTCGCGGATTGTTGCAAATAAAGAACCCTAAATCAGCTTGCCCAAATCAAGGAGTGGTGGAAAAAAGGAGACTTCTACTCCTCCTGGATTCCGCAGAACTGACTATACCCAGGATTTTCCACCTCTTCCGGGGACATCCAAAACCCCTGATGCCCCAATTTTAAGAACGAAAGCCCCTTCTTCATCTGGGTTGTTCTCATGCCCCTTCTTGCAGCTATCATCTCCTTCGATGGATAATTTTCCAAACGAGGTCGGGGATTTGATCACTGTTCTACAGTGGAATTGGCGAAGTCGTATTCCGAAATTAGATTCGTTCAAGTATTTTGTCCATAACAATAATTGCGATGCATTTGCCCTCTGTGAAACATGGCTCTCTTCAGAAATTGATCTCCCTTTTTATGATTTTAACATTATTCGATTGGATCGTGAGGATTCACGTGGAGGAGGGGTACTTTTGGGGATCAAAAAGTGCCATTCCTTCTATAGAGTAAATCTTCCCGAATTCCCCGGTATTGAAGTTGTCGCATGTCAGGCTACCATTAAAGGTAAGAGCCTTTGTATTGCTTCTGTATATATTGCTCCTAGGGTCTCTGTTAATCGCAAACAACTTTTCGACATATGTGCGGTACTTCCCGCTCCATGGTTGATCATAGGAGATTTTAACTCCCACGGTAAAGGTGGGGGGGAGCTGTACGATGATAACCGTTCTACTTTGATTTATGATCTCTGCGACAACTTCAACATGACAACACTTAACAATGGAGAAGTAACACGTTTGGCTGGTCCATCCTCGAATGGTAGCAGATTAGACCTCACCTTTTGCTCCAATTCACTATCGTTGGATTGCACTTGGCATGTAATCCAGGATCCGCACGGTAGTGATCATCTGCCGATCAAAATTTCGATTGCCAGTGGGTTCAACTCGTCAGAATCCGTTAAAGTCGCGTATGATCTAACCCGTAACGTCGATTGGACTAAGTTCCAATCCGCGATAGGCGATACAGTATCGGCAGTGGAAGAGCTTCCGCCGTTGGAGGAATATAACTTATTCTCTAATCTGTTCGTCGACAGCGCACTTCAAGCTCAAACACGACCGCGATCGTCAATTCGTAAGAAAACACCAACAATGCACGGAGGTTTACCGTAAAAAGTCCGACGCGTTTAAACTTTTTCGGAAACGCGGAACACGCGAGCATTTCGACGCATACACATCTCTTGAACGCGAACTCAAGAGCCTCATCAAGGCCAAAAAACGGGGTTACTGGCGGCAGTTTGTAGACGGATTGTCGCGCGAAACGTCTATGAATACGCTTTGGAGTACGGCGCGAAGAATGCGTAACCGGTCTACTAACAACGAAAGCGAGGAATACTCGGATCGATGGATTCTTAAATTCGCGCGAAAAGTGTGTCCGGATTCCGTGCCGTCGCAGTTGATTCTTCGCGAAACCGCGAATGCGGTAGACGAAATCAGTCAGCCTTTTTCAATGGTTGAACTTTCACTCGCTCTCCTTTCGTGTGGCAATTCTGCCCCGGGATCTGATAGAATCAAGTTCAACTTGCTGAAAAACCTCCCAGACGTCACTAAGAGGCGCATGTTGAACATGTACAATCAGTTCTTGGAGCTCAATATTGTTCCCGACGATTGGAGACGAGTGAGGGTGATAACCATTAAAAAGCCTGATAAACCCGCGTCGGATCACAATTCGTATCGGCCCATCGCGATGCAGTCGTGCATTCGGAAATTGATGGAGGAAATGGTCCTTTTTCACCTTTTTCGACAAATGCGTTGAGACGAACCACCTTCTTTCAGATACTCAATTTGGTTTCCGTAGGGGTAAGGGAACGAACGACTGTCTCGCGTTGCTTTCCTCGGAAATTCAGTTGGCTTTTGCTAAGAAAGAGCAAATGGCTTCTGTGTTCTTGGATATCAAGGGGGCTTTTGATTCAGTATCCGTTGAAGTTCTTTCAGAGAAACTCCACGTTTGTGGATTGTCTCCATTGATGAATAATTTTTTGTACAATTTGCTGTCAGAAAAACATATGAGCTGGAAACTCTACAGCTTTTCGATTTAACTACATGGGTCTCCCCCAAGGCTCATGTTTAAGCCCCCTTTTGTACAATTTCTACGTTAGAGAAATTGATGACTGTCTTAGTGACAATAGCACGTTGAGACAACTTGCAGATGACGGCGTAGTGTCTATCACAGGACCAAAAGAGGTTGACCTGCAAGGACCCTTACAGGATACCTTGGACAATTTGTCCACACGGAGAACAAATTCGTTAAGTTAAGATAACAATCCTAATAGTTACTTTCACATGGAAAAATATTGTTGTTTGAAAGAAACTGTTCAGTAGCGGGTATATAGCTAAAAGCAGAATCCAACTCTAGTGTGAACTCTACGTTAGTTTAGTTATTGCTGTTCATTTCTTTCGTGCAGTTTACAATACATACACATCATCAGCTGTTCCTATTAGATTTAAGTCGACAGTATCAGTAATAAATAACATTCCTTATCAGTAGCTCAAGAAGTGAAGATCAAGAACCAAATTTGTAGTCAATTTAAAGTGAGTGAAACCAATAAACTGAAGTTTAAACGGTGGTGTAAAAAGTGGATTTTTGTGAGCTTGGTCTATCGATGACCATTTGACTAATTGTGGCGAGCCATAGCCGAAGAGTAGGGTCCAGATCGGCCACATCCTGCCACTAAGTGAACCGTTTCCCCAACACAATTTGGTGCCGTGACCAGGATAGTGGCATTGTTGAGTACGAAAAGGTCGCCGACCGATTCGCCATTCTTCCGTGGGACAAAGAAGCCCGCTCTATTCGCCATCTTCCAAGCAACGTAGTGGACAATACCAGCTTGTTATAGACGCCACCTCAGCCAGCTGAACAAGCCAATCGTCCGCCATCGAAGTGCACTGTGAATAGACACAAAGCCCATCCTATTGTGCCATTGCCATCGAGTGACGCCATCCGCCATCCGTGAAGATCCAACTGAAGAACTGTTGCAGCAATCAATTTATACAAGGCCTGTTGAGATCAGGCAGAAGGTAATTGCCTGTCCAACTTCCTTTCCTATTGTTTGCTGGTGCTCTTTAGATTACCTCTACCTTTCATGTGCTGATCGGAATTTTCGCTCGGTGGAGTTTGTGAGATCGTCACGTTCTTGCTGTTCCAAACGAATCAACGGAACTGAAGTGTGTGCAAACAGTACTGAAGAAACGAAACCAGTGCCCGTGTGTGGAACCGAAGGAACGGAATACGTCGTTAAAGCAATCCCTGCCGTTTCCTGGTGCTTTTCTGCGACCACGCCGTGGTGCAATCGAGCAAAGAATCCCACCACTCCAGTGCCATTTTGGATCGTTTTTTTTGTTCCTGCGTATACATTAATACAAGGCACTTATCCGCCTTGGTCAGGTGAGCACCTTTCCAAGTGATTTATTGTTTTTCCCCCAGTGCTTCCTGGTCTTTTTCGTTGCCAGATCGTTGCCTACCTTCATTGCACGTCTCGCTTCGACACGATGGAGGAAGATCGTCGGAAACATGTGCTGACATCCCGACGAACCACTCTGCTTGCGTCTCTAGGACGAGCGGAGAAATTTATGCTGCAGTACCAGGAGGAACGGGACAAGCTCGAGGTCGATCTGCGATTGGAGAATCTCGACGTGATCCTACAGGGGCTAGAGGATGTGCAGACGGAACTGGAGGATATGGAGGACACCAACGAAGGCATGGTGAGAAACTTACAGTTTCGTTCCAATTTCGAAACTCTGTCCTTTAAAATAAAATCCTTCTTACGCTCTAAACTTCCTCCTCCAATCAATCTGCACGACAATCTCCCTCAACATACTGCTTCTGGGGCTAACACTCTAAAGGGTCTGAAACTGCCTACCATTTCATTGCCTGAATTTTCTGGGGACTACAAAGACTGGCTTGCGTTCCACGACACTTTTCTGGCTCTTATCCATGCGAATCCGGATGTGGCAGACATCCAGAAATTTCACTACCTACGGGCTGCTATCAAGGGGGAAGCAGCTCAGTTAATCGAATCAATTGGAATCAGTGCTGCTAATTATTCGCTCGCTTGGGAAGCTCTTGTCAACCGATATGCCAACAAGTACCTCCTGAGAAAACGTCATCTTCAAGCGTTGTTGGAGTGCCCAAAGATGAAGAGAGAGTCAGCGTCCATCTTGCATACCATCGTCGATGATTTCGAGCGACACGTCAAAATTCTAGGTCAGTTGGGTGAGCCAGTAAATTCGTGGAGTACCATATTGGAGCACGTCCTCTGTACGCGACTGCACGATGACACCCTGAAGGCGTGGGAGGATCACGCTTCCACTCTGGACGCAGTAACCTACGAGCGACTGATCGAGTTCCTGCAACGTCGTATGCGCGTCTTGGAATCGATTTCCGTCAACCAACACTATTCGTCTGTCCCAGCCGAAACCCAATTCAAACCTCCGTTTTCGAAAAGATCGTTTCCAACGAAAGTCTCGTCCCATGCTGCCGTCGAAAATTCTCCTATGAAGTGCTACGCCTGCGATCAACGTCATCCTTTAGTAAAGTGCTACAAATTCGAGAAGCTTCCTATTTCCGAAAAGTTGAACCTTCTTAATGCCAAGCGTCTCTGTCTCAATTGCTTCCGCAATGACCACCTCGCTCGAAATTGTTCGTCGAAGTACAGCTGCAAGTTCTGCCAGAAACGCCACCACTCCCTCATCCATGCAGCCTACGTGGATAGTTCCAAACAATCCAGCACAAATGTCAACGCTTCCTCTTCTGGTAGTTCTTCTAGGGCATCCGTTCAAACCAACATAGCCACTTCCGAGGCCGTTCCGTTGCTGTCTGCATCGACATTTGTGAAATCTCAAGAGCAAGTGTGCAGTATTCCGATGCAAAGTTGCGGTAGAAACGTTTTCATGCTCACCGTACTGCTGAAAATCGTCGACTGTTATGGTGAAGAGCATTTTGCCAGAGCTCTTTTGGATTGCGCTTCCCAACCGAACATCATCTCCGAAAACTTGGCCCAAATTTTGCGGCTGAAACGAAACAAAGTGAATGTTTTGATCCATGGAGTAGGGGAGAAACCGCAACATGCCCGCAACTCTGTCCGTACGCAAGTTCGTTCCCGGAAAGGAGAATTCATCCTAGATGTCGACTTCTTGGTGCTGAACAAGGTCATCCCGAACCTTCCGTCCCGTGACGTCTCCGTTGAAGGCTGGAATCTACCACAGGACCTGTTCTACGCCGATCCAAACTTCCACAAGAGCTCCGGGATTGATTTAATAATCGGCAACGAGCATTTCTTCTCTTGCTTCAAGACCGCTGCTAGAATTCAATTGTCCGATTCCCTTCCGTTGCTAGTTGATAGTGTCTTCGGGTGGATCGTCTCTGGAACCGCCAACGCTGCTGAAAATTCCTCCGATTCTTCTGCCTGCTCTGTTACGACCGTTTCACTAATGTCCCTCGAAGAAAGCTTAGAACGCTTTTGGGAAATCGAAGAGCTGCCATCTCGATCTGCCTACTCACCAGAGGAGAAGAAATGTGAGGAATTCTACACATCCACGGTTACCAGAAACACCGAAGGACGGTACATAGTGCGACTACCACGTAAATCCAACTTCGACGAACTAGTTGGAGAATCGAAGGCCACTGCTTTACGACGCTTTGAACTTCTCGAGCGCAGGCTCAACCGAGATGTACACCTGAAAGAAGAATACTGCAAGTTCATGCGAGAGTATTTGGATTTAGGGCATATGCGATTGGTTCCTGAGGAGGAAGAAGGCAGGTCGAAGGAATGTTTTCTACCCCATCATCCAGTGCTGAAAGAGGCCAGCACAACGACAAAAGTACGTGTCGTCTTTGATGCTTCCGCCAAAACGTCTACGGGACACTCTCTGAATGAAGCGCTGCTCGTAGGCCCCGTAGTACAGGACGATATACTTAACATTAGCCTGCGATTTCGAACCTTTCCTGTAGCGGTTGTGGGTGACGTCGAGAAGATGTACCGCCAGGTCCTGAACCATGAAGAGGATACACCGCTTCAAGAAATCCTATTCCGTTTCAACAAATCCGACCCAGTACAAACCTATCGACTTCTTACCGTTACGTACGGTATGGCTCCGTCTGCTTTCCTTGCAACTCGTACACTACTGCAGTTGGCCAACGATGAAGGTGATGCCTATCCGCTGGGAGGACCAGCGCTCAGAAAGGGATTTTACGTTGACGATTTCATCGGTGGTGCTCAGTCGGTTCAAGAAGCAATCCAGTTGAGGACCGAATTGGGAGAATTGATGGCGAAGGGTGGATTCTGCTTGCGAAAGTGGACGTCGAATAAGTTGGAAGTGCTGCAGGGACTAGCTGCTGACCAAGTCGGTACTCAATCCGCTCTGAAATTCGACAAGGACGAAACAATCAAGGCGTTGGGAATCAGCTGGGAACCTGAAATCGACGTGTTCCGTTTTGAGACCATCATTCGACCGACGCAAGGACCGCCTACTAAACGAAGCATTTTATCTGGGGTATCGCAGCTATTCGACCCCCTCGGAATAATTTCTCCTGTAGTAATCCGTGGCAAAATGCTGATGCAACTCCTGTGGCTGCAATCGTTTGGCTGGGACGATGAGGTTCCAGAATCGATCGCGAAGAAATGGGAGAATTACGCCGAGCAACTAACAAAACTTTCCGAGTTCCGGGTGCCACGTTACGCGTTGCTTCCAAACGCTACCATCCAGCTGCACACATTCTCCGATGCATCCGAGACTGCCTATGGTGCATGCACATACGCACGATCCGTTGATTCCTATGGTAATGTTGCTGTACATTTACTTGCATCGAAATCCCGAGTGGCGCCACTGAAACGCGTCAGCCTTCCCCGATTGGAACTTTGTGCCGCTGACCTAGCTGCAAAACTCTTCGTCAAAGTATCCGAGGCATTGCAAATTGAAATTTCCGCTTCATACTTTTGGTCTGACTCAACAGTCACGCTCCAATGGCTCAAGGCTCCACCCAACACCTGGAAAACGTTTGTGGCCAATCGAGTTTCCTCAATACAGTCAGCCACTCACGGAGCTTACTGGAACCATATAGCCGGCAAACAAAACCCCGCAGACATGGTATCGAGAGGAATGGAGACCGAAGATTTCGTCAATTGCACCTTGTGGAAGCACGGACCCAACTGGTTGTCTCTTCCCGAACGGCAATGGCCATGTGACAACATACAGGACTACCCAAAGGACGGAAAGGAGCGCCGAAAACTCGTCGTAGCAGTAACAAGAACCGAATCCATTATCAATCCCCACTTCGCTCACTTTTCGACGCACACTGCAATGATCCGCATAACTGCATACTGTCTGCGCTTTGTCCGCCACTGTCGTGAAAAGTTTCGTACACAGCCCCCCAGTACTGGTCCGCTTTCCAGTAGCCCTCTAACACGAGATGAGCTCTGTACTGCCCAATCCATTCTCATCAGGCTAGTCCAGGCCGATGGTTTCAAAGAAGAGCTGAAGGATCTTCGCAGAGGCAACGCAGTATCTAATAAGTCACCGATTCGCCGCCTAAGCCCCTTTCTCGACCCTGACGGCATAATTAGAGTGGGAGGGAGATTAAATTTACTAGAGCAGCCATACATAAACAAACACCCTGTCCTCCTACCAAATCCTCACCCCTATACTCGCCTTCTTGCTAAACTTCACCACCTACGATTAATTCATGGTGGCGGCCGACTCACACTGGCCTCCATGAGAGAAAAATTCTGGCCTATCAACGGAAGACGACTCATCAAAGGCATCATACACGCATGTTTCCGCTGCGCCCGAGCAAGTCCCGTTCCAGCAACCCAACAACTTGGACAGCTTCCAGTTCATCGTATCAGCCCCAGTCGTCCATTCAGCATCACCGGAGTAGATTTTGCAGAACCTGTTTACTTGAGAGCAATCCACAAGAGAGCACTTCCAACCAAGGCCTACATCTGCATCTTTGTCTGCTTCAGTACAAAAGCTGTACACATCGAGTTGGTAGGAGATTTATCAACCCCAGCCTTTCTGTCAGCATTTCGGAGATTTGTGTCCCGTCGAGGCCGACCGTCCGACGTCTATTCGGACAACGGCAAGAATTTCGAGGGCGCGAAGAACGATCTGGAAGAAATCTACCGTTTACTGAAGAACGAGCAAGCTGGCCAAATCCATTCCTTTTGCGCCAACGAATCCATAACCTGGCACCTGTGTCCACCAAAAGCGCCTCACTTTGGTGGATTATGGGAGGCTGCGGTGAAAGTCGCGAAAAAACATCTGTACCAACAGCTGGGAAACTCTCGCCTTACGTTCGAGGGTATGGCGACGCTTCTAACTCAAATTGAAGCATCAATGAATAGCCGGCCACTTGTACCCCTGTCGGAGGATCCCAACGATCTATCGTGCCTAACTCCTGCTCACTTTTTGATTGGGTCAACGATGCACGCAGTTCCTGAGCCGGATTACACAAATTTCTCGATGAGTATTCTCAACCAATATCAAGCAATTCAAAGGACGTTTCAGCAGTTTTGGCATCATTGGCGAAAGGAATATTTGCACGAGATGCAGCTATGCACCAAATACAACAAGCCGAACAAAGGAATCCTTCCCGGTCGTCTCGTGATCGTCGTCGATGAATCCTTGCATCCAGTCAAGTGGCCACTCGCTCGTATTCTCGATATCCATCCTGGCCGCGACCAGCTGACTCGTGTGGTGACCCTGAAGACGTCTCGTGGGGTTATCAAGCGGCCAATTACAAAAATTTGCTTTCTTCCATCCGATGACGACGTGGATAACCCAACCGGAGAAAACAACAAACAAAATGACGCCGACCGAGATGACAGCTCTGCAACCACCAGCGAAGACGGAGAACTCAACGGAGGTGAGAAGTAGCCGCAATCCAAATGATGAAGAAAAGGAAAATTGTGACAGATAGTTAAGCAGCATTTACACTATGTTCTCTTTTGTTTCTATTATTGATGTAGTTTGTTGGTAGCGGGTAGAAATAGTATTAGAATTTTGAATTTAATCCTTTTTGAAATTGAGCATTTCAAGGTGGCGGCGATGTTCAGTAGCGGGTATATAGCTAAAAGCAGAATCCAACCTTAGTGTGAACTCTACGTTAGTTTAGTTATTGCTGTTCATTTCTTTCGTGCAGTTTACAATACATACACATCATCAGCTGTTCTTATTAGATTTAAGTCGACAGTATCAGTAATAAATAACATTCCTTATCAGTAGCTCAAGAAGTGAAGATCAAGAACCAAATTTGTAGTCAATTTAAAGTGAGTGAAACCAATAAACTGAAGTTTAAACGGTGGTGTAAAAAGTGGATTTTTGTGAGCTTGGTCTATCGATGACCATTTGACTAATTGTGGCGAGCCATAGCCGAAGAGTAGGGTCCAGATCGGCCACATCCTGCCACTAAGTGAACCGTTTCCCCAACAGAAACCTATAGTTATTCCAACATTAATTTGACCGTCAACTCAATCATATCTACCTAGTAGATTCAACTGTTCATCTTATACTCAATTCAACTATAACTTTGATCAATTATAACAACCGTCAAATGTAATTTATTTATATAATTTGGTTTCAAATGATCATCATAAATCCACATACTTTTAACTTGTGATGCGTAGAGCAGGCGATAAGATAGCTGGTTCTCACGCAGATGAACACGGTTCAAATCTAAGTTGAATGTTCTTGTTCACTTTTTTATGATTTTGCAGTTGTGTTTTTGAGATCGATAAAGAAGCAAAACAAACTTCCTTAATATGTCGATAATGAAGAGCAGCTCGTTTAATAAACATTGTAAAATTTTGCTTTTCTAACAATAGTTTTATTGAATCAACTAAAGCATAGTTGTATTTTGAAGATTGACGTTTGTTCATCTACTGAAAAATATAGTTGAGCCAACCGAGGAGCCAACTATGGACTATAGTTGTTGCCCTCTATATATAGTCAAATCAACTACAGTTTCGGGTTATCTCTAAAACAATTGAACAATATAGTTATTTTGACCGGAAAAATAATTGCGTCTGCTATAATTTGTTCTCCGTGTACTTGGGCTATTCAGCTAGGTATCGAATTCTCCACGGAGACTCACGTTTTTTCTAGGAAGCATAGCCCAGCACAACCGAAGCTTCAACTTTTGGGTAAACCGATCACTCATTCCATGTCTTTCAAATATCTTGGGGTCTGGTTCGATTCCAAATGCACCTGGAGATCCCACATTAAGTATCGAAGACGAAAATGCCAACTAAGGATCAATTTCCTTCAATCAATTACCGGAACGTGGTGGGGAGCCCGTCCACAAGATCTTCTGACGTTGTAACGGACAACGATTTTATCGGTTTTCGAGTACTGTAGTTTTTGCTTCCAGTCGGCAGCTAAAACGCACATCATTAAGCTGGAACGGATCCAGTATCGTTTTCTTCGTATCACGTTAGGATGCATTCACTCGACGCATACTATGAGTCTCGAAGTGCTGGCGGGCATGTTGCCACTATCCGTCCGTTTTTCAGAGTTATCTCTGAGGCTCCTCACCCGTTGCGAAGTAATGAACCCACTGATGATAGAAAACTTTGAGAAGCTTCTGGAGCTCCGTTTGTGTGTAGGTTACACTCAATTGAATGATATATAGCGTTTCTCAAATGAGAATGATCCATGCCTTCGTCAAATGAGTAAGCAACTGATATCACCCATTCGGAGGAGGTCTCCTTTGATAGCGAATAGCTACTTTTCTCATTTTCATCAAAAATGTTCAAATGATTTTGAGAATTTACAGCACTGCTTTGTACTACCTGTATTTAACACAGGATGTCAGCCCTTCAAGAAATATTCCCAATCGTGTATTCTTCTCCGATTTCAGCAATTCAGTGAATTTTGATTTATCTATGACGCAGGAAATCCGCCGAATTCCAGAGCATCATCGTCCTTTGATTGCTCCGTCATTATACGCTGCAAAGTTTGGCCATGTTGATTCTGCATTCACAGATGGATCTCTAATAGAGGAGTCCGCTGGTTTTGGTGTATTTAATGAATTTCATAGCGCCTCTCGAAAACTGGAAGCTCCTTGTTCTGTGTATGTGGCTGAACTGGCAGCAATTCACTACACTTTGGAAACTATTGCTTCACTTCTTCCAGACCACTACTTTATTTTTACGAATAGTCTCAGTTCTGTCGAAGCTATCCGTTCCATTAGGCCGGTAAAGCACTTCTCGTATTTTCTCTTGAAAATATAAGAGCTGCTTAGTGCTTTATCCGCGCGCTCTTTCATCATCACCTTCACGTGGGTCCCTTCGCATTGCTCAATTTTGGGCAATGAGAAGGCGGATTCATTTGCGAAGGTGGGCGCTATGGAAGGCGACATTTATGATCGACAAATCGCCTATAGTGAATTTTTCTCTATTTATCGTCAGCAGTCACTCGTTAGCTGGCAACATCAATGGAGTGAAGGGAGCTTGGGACGATGGCTACATTCAATTATCCCTAAGGTGTCGAAGTTTGCATGGTTCAAAGGGTTGGACTTGGGTCGAGACTTCATACGCGTGATGTCTCGTCTCATGTCCAATCACTATTGCCTGAACGCTCACTTGTTCCGTGTGGGGTTGGGAGACAGCAATCTGTGTGAATGTGGACAAGGTTACCAGGACGCTGATCACATCCCTTGGTCTTGTGCGGAGTATCGTGGAGTCAGATCACATTTTTATGATTCCCTTCGGACTCGAGGTAGGCAACCTAATGTTCCAGTTCGGGATATTTTGGCTAGACGCGATCTGGAGTATATGAAACTCATGTATGTTTACTTTAAGGATATTAACCTAAGATTGTAAGTTTGATTAACCTTGTTATATTTTGTACGTGTGGGGGTTTTTTTTTTCAATGTTTGTTTTCAAGATGAATAGAAGTAATTTCATGCTTTAGGATTAATTAAATAGTTGTATCGTAAACCACATTTGAAACCTCCTTCTTCCCTTTTCCTATCCAAAAAATTATAAATCGCCACTAACCTCGAGACACCTGCGAGTACTCGGTCCAGTTCCTTTAACTTTAAATATAAGACAGTAATAATGTATAATTCAAAGGATAACTCAGCTCTGTAAAGCCAGTACAAAAAAAATATATAAAAAAAATTGTGTCAAAAATCTACGCAACCCTTATATGTATAAAAAAAAACTTTTCAAACTTTCATTGAGTTTCAGAGGCAATCACGCTTAACACTACACCACCGGTGCACAGTGGGACTATTCTGATAAAAGACGGTCAAAACTCTTTTCCCACAGTATCCGATGTTTCAGCAATGAGGTGTCTTCGAAGAAATTTCTCAAAATGTTATTCTACATCTTTTGAAATATACACATGAATTTTGATTAAGGTGGTATTACACAAAAATATTTTTTTTTGTAATCGCAAGATAATAGGTTTATGTCTTTGACAAAGTTGTAGAACTTTGCATTTTATAAAACTTTGCTATAGACACCATGTTTCTAAATCATAATTAATGTGATATATAATTGGATTTCGGTCAGGACTACCTTTCTTGTATCATAAATCTTAAAAAATCGATTCAAAATGTTTTACAAAGTTTTCAATACTATTAAAATGCCCAATTTTTTTTAAGACAGCAATAATTTATATTGCTTTATTTTCTTTTTAAAGCGATTTTAAGGAAAATAATTAGCAATTTGCAATTAAACGTTCTTTGAAGATGGCAGTTTCTAGCAGCCAAAATAAGCATGTTTTGATCAATCATAACATAATGTATTAGTGGACCAAACAACATGGCCAGTTCTGCTCGGCTACATAGTTATTTTTCTTCTTTTTTTTTTGTTTAAGGTCGTTGTGATTATATTTTCACTTAATTTTTGCTATTTTTATTGGTTTATTAATTAATGCATGTGTTACACAATGTTAGATTTTGTTAAAATTAGTGCATACAATTAAAACTGTTACGTGTTACTGGATTTATTCATCGTCAGCTTCTGTGTCTGAATCACTATCAGATAATTGATCTAGCGAATCTAGTAAAAGTTTCTTTGCTGCTGGCAACATTTCCATTTTTTTTTAGAGTTTGTCGTCTTAGATTTGTTATGAAGGGGTCCGAAGTCATAAGTAACCGTCTAAAAATTCTTCATTGGTTGCCATTCTGTACACAAATAAAAGTACTTGAGTAATTAAGGAATATTTTTCATCGTTTTTATTATTGTCAACATACCTTGAGCACTCTGGAAAACGTTTGAGATCTTTGTTTCGGCATTCCTGTGGTTTCTCCGAAAGATATCCGATCGCTGCTTCTGTGATGTCTGCCCCATGAATTAAAATACGATGCACGGGCATATAATACCAGTTATAGAAACGTACATAATATTTGGCAGTATCATAACAATACGCTCTTAAAGCGGCAATTTCGATTTTCTTCCCATAGGCCAGCACGCTTACTATTACCGGAAATTTCAATTATTTCTTCGTCTAATCCGGTGATTTTAGTGGCTACTTTCGGGTTAAAAAAAACAGTGTTCCCATCGTTGCTGGAGCCTGTTTTGGAACATCTATTATTAAACCAAGCCTGTGCTTAAAATTCTTCTGAATTGCTTTTTTATCATTGCTAGTTTTTCCTTGTGTTCTGGTGTTATTACTTGCCAGCACCTGATTTTCAACCTATATGCGATGTGCAGTAGACATTCTATAAATCTGTTTGAAGCACATGAAGAAAAAACAATTAAAAAATAGTAAATCCCTATAAGAATATACCAAACTGCTATATACACTATTATGCAATATACAATACAAATGTTAAGACATTTAATCGGATATGAAATGTTCACATTTTTCAATATAAATTGTCGTGATCTCAAGAGCAATTGTTCAGAACGAAATTGATCACATTT